CATTCAGCTTGCCAGGTTTTCGTTTACACTGGGCCTACCATAGGCTCCTGGGAATTCTCCATAGGTGAGAATGCTTGTGGTGTCCCATCTTACAGTGTGGGGGGTGTGGGGAGAATGGGAGAAATCTGGGAAGGCTTCTCAGAGGAGATGACATTGGCGTGGAGACGTAGAGTTAGTTCAGGGAGGATGGAGAGCTGAGTGATCCAGGCAGGGGGAACAGGCAAAGAGGGGGAATCCTGCCACTTTTGAGGAAGTGAGAGAAGACAGTGCCATTGTACTGGGATGAGTAATAAAGCTGAAGTTAGTCAGGTCATGCAGGGCCTGAGTCCTGCCACCGAGTTTGGGCTTCGAGTTTTCTGGAGAAGCAATAGATATTAAGCAGGGAAAGGGTACAGAGTTAGAAAGGTCCCTGATTGCTGTGTGGGAGCCCAGGGAGGGGACTGGGCTGGATCATGGCTGGGGCCTTGGGGTTGGTGGGAGGGGAGGGGGGATTTGGAGAGGAATCCAGGACTCCAAACAGGAGTGGGGGGTGGCAGGACTAAGAACAGGGAGGAGGAGAGATGCTGAGGCCAGTTGGGGACACAGTGGAGGGGTGGGTGGATGGGGACACCTGGGAGGAGGCATCCAAGAGGCCATTACAGGCCAGAATTCTACAAGTGGCAACACTGAGCTCAGAGCAGGGAAGGGTCCATCCAGGGCAGGTCTCTGAGATAAGGGAGGAAAACTGCAACTCCATCCTCTTCCCTCCCTGTTCAACCTCCAAACAACGTGGGGCAGGGGACCACACAGTACTCCATAAATGCTGGGATGGAAGGAAGGAAGAAGAGGAAGGAAGGATAAAAGTATGGGTGGGTGAAAAGAGGAGTAAAAAGATGGAAGGAAGGAAGGAAGGAAGGAAGGAAGGAAGGAAGGAAGGAAGGAAGGAAGGAAGGGAGGGAGGAAGGAATCTTCACTCAGCTGGTTGATCACAGAACAGGAGCCTGGATAATCCCAGTTACCAACTTCTCAGGAAAATGTCACCCTCTGCCCCAAGGACAGGTATTTATTAAGCACCTACTGAGTCCTCATCTCTGGACTAGGTAGATGTGGACTCAGGACAGGGCCCGAAGAACCCCCTCTGGGCACTTCGGAAGGAAGGGGTAGTCCTAGGGAATGGAGAGAGGGGCCAGTCGCTCCTTGAGTCTAGCCTTCTGTGCAGGGGTTTTCTTCTCCAATGGGGAGCGATGGAGGCAGCTGAGGAGGTTTACCATGCTCGCTCTGCGGGACCTGGGCATGGGGAAGCGAGAAGGCGAGGAGCTGATCCAGGCCGAGGCCCGGTGTCTGGTGGAGGCCTTCCAGGGAACAGCAGGTGAGCAGGGCAGGGCCAGCCCAGGGTCCCTGGGGTCCTGAGTGAGTGTGGGGAGGACCCTCCCATGGTGCCTGGGCTGGGGGCTCTATTCACTCCACCTCTAGCTCCTTCTTTCCCTCTGTCGCTGCCCTGCCGTCTCCCTGAGAGTCTCTGTGTCCCTGGTATTGTCACATCACTTTTCTGCCTCTTTCTCTCTCCACTTCTGTTTTTCTCTCCTGTAAATTTCTCTGTCTCTCTCCTTGCCTGTTTGTCTGTGTCTCTATTTGTCTCTTTCTCTCTGTCCTTGTCTGTTTCTCTGTCCTTGTCTGTCTGTCCCTGTCTCGATGCCTTTCTCTTTGTGGTTGTTTCTGGCCCCCATGGAGTCGGTCCTCTCCGATTCCATCACAACACTCCTCCTTGCCTCCTCCCCACCAGGACAGCCATTTGACCCCTCCCTGCTGCTGGCCCAGGCCACCTCCAATATTGCCTGCTCCCTCACCGTGGGCCTCCGTTTTCCCTATGAGGATGAGGAGTTCCAGGCTGTGGTCCAGGCTGCTGGTGGCATCCTGCTGGGGATCAGCTCCCCTTGGGGCCAGGTAAGCGGTGAGACCCCCTCTCCAACCACTTTCCCCAAACGTTCCTGCCTTCCTCTTCCAGGCAACCCCCAGAGCACCCCATCCACCTGCCCTTCCACCTTGGTGCAGGGCCAGGCCCCATGGAAACAGCTGCCCTTCTCCCCACAGACCTATGAGATGTTCTCCTGGCTCCTGCAGCGCCTTCCAGGCTCCCAAACCCAGCTCCTCAGCCATGTGAGCACCCTGGCCACCTTCGCCATTGAGCAGGTGAAGCGGCACCAGGGGAGCCTGGACCCCTCAGGCCCTGCACGCGATGTTGTGGATGCCTTCCTGCTGAAGATGGCAAAGGTGGGGGAAGGTGGAGGTTTGGAGGCGCTCCTGAATGGGGATGGTGGCCTGGCTGCCTGCCACCCAGGTGTGTCTGTGCATGTGTGTGCATATCTCTTCTTTCTAATGCATTGTTCTCTCTGCCTCTCCCTACCCCTACTTCATGAGTATCCAAGTCTCTTGCATTTCTCCCCTCTCCTCCCTCCAACCTCACCCCCATGCCCAGTGACCTGCCACTAGCAATGGCCACCATTGCTTCACCCCACCCACCCCTGCCCCCCCTACCCACACAGGACACTTCCTGAGACTTAGTCATTTCCTTATGAAACTTTGCATTAGCCAATTATTCTAATAAAGTCTGCTTTTTAATTATATAAGAACAATATGAGAAAATGAGAACTCCTGTGGAAATAACTAGTTTTGCATTGTACAAACTTTGGAATTATGGAACTTTGGAATTATGGGAGCTATTCAGGGCCACATCCTTTGAATAAATGCAGCCACCTTGTTCATGGAGAGAGAATTTTTTTCTTATATATGTGGCCCCATTTCTTTTTTATTTTTTTGATTAAAAATATAGTTGTAGTAAAATACACATAACATGAAATTCACCATCTTAACCATTTTTGAGTGTACAGTTCAACAGTGTTAAGTGTGTTTATATTGTTGTGCAACCAGTCTCCAGCACTCCTTTCAACTTGCAAAGCTGAAGTGCTATACTCTCAACATCACCCCATTCCCCCGGCCCAGCTCCTGGCAAGCACCAATCTGTTTTCTGTCTTCATTAGTTTGCCTTCTCTAGGTGCCTCATATAAGTGGAACCATACAGTATTAGACCTTTTTAACTACTTTATTTCATTTAGCATAATGTCCTCAGGTTCCTCTATGTTGTAGCATATGTTGGGATTTCCTTTCTTTTTTTTTTTTTTTTTTTTAGTGTATTTTTATTGATTTCAGAGAGGAAGGCAGAGGGAGCTAGAGATTAGAAACATCAATAATGAGAGAGAATCATCGATTGGCTGCCTTTTGCACACCCCACACTGGGGATCAAGTCCAAAACCCAGGCATGTGCCCTGACCAAGAATTGAACTGTGACCTGGTTCATGGATAGATGCTCAACCACTGAGCCACACTAGCTGGACAAGGGCTATCCTTTCTTTTTAAGGCTGAATCATATTCCATTGTATGGATAGACCACATTTCATGTATCCGTTCATCCATTGATAGGCACTTGGCTTACTTCCACCTTTTAGCTATTGTGGCTCACACCACTGTGAATATGAGTGTACAAATAATCTCTTCAAGACTCTGCTTTCAATTCTTTTGGAGATAAGTCCAGAAGTGGAAGTGCTGGATCGTATCATTATTCTATTTGAATTTTTTTGAGAAACTGTGATACCATTTCCAGAGCAGCTGCACCATTTTCCATTCTCACCAATGGTGACATTGGTTCCAATTTCCCCACATCCCCACCAACACTTGTCATTTTCTGTTTGCGTGTTTATGGTGGCCATTCTCTTTCATTTTTAAAAACATTCCAACCAGACAGAATAATATCAAGAGCCCACATCCTGACTTTCCCAAACATTTATTTAAACTCCTTGACAAAGCTTGAACTTGCTGTGCTACCCGAAGACCAGCTGGGCGGCCCCCCGCTACCTGCAGGTTGTGTTCTCTGAGCCCCTCTGCCCGGTTTCTTCCAGGAGGAACGTGATGCAAACACAGAATTCACTGACAAGAACTTGTTGATGACTGTCATTTATCTGCTGTTTGCGGGGACGGGGACCGTCAGCACCACGGTCCGCTACACCCTCCTGCTCCTGTTGAAATACCCTCAGGTCCAAGGTAGGAGCCTTTTCCACCAGCCAGGCCCTGGTAACAGAAGTGAGAGCTGGAGAGGAAGAATGTTCAGGAGAGTGGGCAGCCTGAGCCAGAGCTGGAGGTGACCATGAGCCTGGCATCTGGGGTGTCTGAGGCGCGAGAAGCGGAGGGACTGTTGGTTGTCGAATGAGGCGTAGTGAGAAATGAGGCAGGAGATGTCTCGGGGCCTTGTCCCTTAATCCTGAGCAATGGGGATCCATGGAAGGATGTTGGGCAGGGGGAGGTGGGGTCAAATTAGCATTTTAGAAAAATTCTTTGGGCTTCCATGAAGTAGGAGGGAAGCCTGGGTAGGGACCTGGGTGGGAGAGGACAGGGCTGGGTCAAGCTGTGGAGAGAAAAGAAGGGGCCAAGTGGGCAGGTGGTAGAGAAAGATGGGGAGGGAGACAGTCAGAGGCAGGCCCAGGGCTCTAGCCAGGGGCTTGGGGGACCGGGGGGCTACCCCGAGATGGGAACAGAAAGGAAGAGTGATTGTTTCAGGGAAGACACTGAGGCCAGTTTGGGACACTTTGAGTGTGAGGGGCCTGGGACCACCTGTGAGGAGGCATCCAGGAGGGTCAGGACAGGAGATGAAAAACAAATTGGGGTCCTGAGAGCGCAGGTTGGAACTGAAGCTGGGATGGTGAGGAACAGTATAGGGCTGCTAATAAGCCCCAAGGAACTCCAGCGTCTCACGTTGGGCAGATAAATGCTGTTGAGCTAGTGGGGTGGGCTGACCTGGAAGATGGTGTTAGGTCGCCAAAGGAGGAACACACAAGGCCAGAGTGGTGAGGGATTACGGTGAGGGATTACAAATTTATTCAATCATCCGCACACCAGTGGCTGACCTTGGATGGCTCCAGCACCCAGTGAGGTGAGTCAGTGGCTTTTAAAGGTCTTTTGGTGGAATTTTTCTGGGCGGAGACTTCTTTATGCATACCTGAAGGGGAGAGCAATGGAATGTGGTCACCCACCACAAGTGAAAAGTGGTCTTCAGCAAAGGGAATGTCCATAGTGAAATGACCTGAAAAGCCAGTTCCCAGGGGGGAAGGGTATCAACTCAATTGCTCCATCAAACCTAACATTCCAGCCTTTTTGTTTTATGGAATAGGGACAAAGGTCATATCTTCTGTAATTGCTTCCTGCTGAGGTGGGATGGAATGGACTTTGATAGTAGTGGGCTGGACTAGGGGTGCAGCAGCTTGATTTCCCCAAGAGACTGGTTGGTGAAGGCTCGAAACGGTCCTGTTGAGTGACTTGGGGGGTAAAAGCTGGTCCTGAGGCTGCCACAGCATCACTTGTCTGGTTTTGCTGCTTTTCTGGGCCTGGAGCTGAAATACAACTGAGACCTAGATGTTATTTTTAGGGGGAAAGAGTAGGGGTCTCAGTTGCCTCACTAGTGATATGAAAGGGGAGAATAGGTTACCCTGGGGGTGAGGTTCTTGTTTTCCCAGTTTTGCCCCTTGCTGGGCATCCACAGCTTTCTTTCTTTCTTTCTTTCTTTTTAATATTAACTCATTTAATTCTTTTTTAAATATATTTTATTGATTTTTTGCAGAGAGGAAGGGAGAAGGATAGAGAGTTAGAAACATCGATGAGGGACAAACATCAATCAGCTGCCTCCTGCACACCCCCTACTGGGGATGTGCCCGAAACCAAGGTACATGCCCTTGACTGGAATCGAACCTGGGACCCTTCCGTCCAAAGGCCGACACTCCATCCACCGAGCCAAACTGGCCAGGGCCACATGTTTCTTGTAGGTCCTGAGACAGCGTTTCAAAATAGGTAGAGCAGTGGTTAAGCTCTCGATGGCAGTTCCAACCCCTGCTGTGATGCCGAGGGTTATGAGGAGAGGGATTATCTGGACTCCTCTTTGGTGTCAGATATGATGGGTTACGGGGACAGGTAAAGACTGATTATTGGGGGCCACATCTACATTTGATGAGAGACAAGAGTTCAGGTTCCTGTCCAGCTGATGGGGAGACAGATGTATGTGTTTTCCCCACAGAGGAAGAATAATCCCTGATCACGGAGACAAGCTGATAGGTGTAAGGGGAAGAGGTGGACTAAAGGGTAGGAGGTTCCTTTTTCTAGTTCTGCACTCCAAGCTGAGAGGGTAGTCGCCATGGCACTGCCAATAAGGGGTGACAGTGAGTGGTTGAGATTTTATTGCAGTGAAAGTGGGAGGGAATGTTAGAATGGGCTGTTGTCCAAGGGAAAAGAGAAAGGGGAGGAAAGGACAGGTGAAGCCGGGGGCCAGGATGGTTGGATAAGAAGTAAGACACTGCACTCAGACCAGCCAAATTGTTAGGTTTGTGGAGCCATTGAGTTGATTCCCCTCCCCCCACCCCCAACTGGCTTTTCAGATTATTTCACTATGGACATTCCCTTTGCTGAAGACCACTTTTCACATTCTCTCCCCTCCGGGTATGCATAAAGAAGTCTCCGCCCAGAAAAATCCCGCAAAAAGACCTTTAAAAGCTGCTGACTCCTCTCACTGGGTGCTGGAGCCATCCAGGGTCAGCCACTGGTGTGCGGATGGATGATTGAATAAATTCGTAATCCCTCACGACTCCTTCGTTGACCTCACAGATGGGACTTGAGGTCTGGTGGCCTTGGTGGAGTAGAGTCAGCTGTGATTCCAGCTCTCTGGGCCTTGGTTTCCTCGTTTGGGAAATGGGGGTAGACACTGGTGCCTCGCTCACAGAATAGCCGAGGGAGTTAAGATAGGAGCGAAGTAATGCCCTCCACACAGGATGTGTGGGACCCGGCTCAGGGAGGGCTGGGGCTTTTCCTCTTACCCACCAGCCTCATCCCTAACCACAGCTGCTCAAGAAGATGGGGCTCCCAGGGAGAGGTCCCTACCCCTCTGACCTCCAGTCCTCTTCTTGGGGGCAGAACGCGTGCACGAGGAACTGACAAGGGAGCTGGGTGCTGGCCGGGCGCCAGGCCTGGGGGACCGAGCTCGCCTCCCATACACGGACGCGGTTCTGCACGAGGCGCAGCGGCTGCTGGCCCTGGTGCCCATGGGGATACCCCGAGCCCTCACGAGGACCACCTGCTTCCGAGGATACACCCTGCCCCAGGTGGGTCTGCGGTGCAGCCATGCCCAGTAGTATCTCTGCCTTAGGCCTGAGTCTGTTGTTATCTGTGTCTCTCTGACTTTTTCTGGATCTTGGTCTCTCTCTTTCTGTGTCTTCCTCCTCTCTTCTCCTCCTCCCCCTCCTCCTCCTCCTCTCCCCTCCTCCTTCGCCTTCTCTCTCCTCCTCCTCCTCCTCCTCCTCTTCCTCCTCCTCCTCCTCCTCATCTCTCATCATCCTCTCGTCCTCTCGCCTCTCTTCCTCCTCCTCCTCTGCCCATCTCAGTTCCTGTCCCTTCACTAGAGAGCAACTTGGAGCCAGCACCACCAGGGGGCGATGTCTCCTCAGAAACCTAAGGCACCTTCTGATAAACTTCCTCCTTGAGCTTCATTGTAGTAGAATCAATCCTTGGCAGTTGCAATCCAGTCTTTTATCTGGGACCTTGGGCAAATCCCTCCCCCCTCTGAGCCTCCACCTACCCCTCTTCTAAATTGGGAAAAGTAATAGTATTAACCAGGATTGCAAGGAATCATATGAGGCAATGCTTGCAAAGCACCAACTTGGCTCTCGGTACCTGGGGGGTGGCAGCCTTGTGCATGAGGCAGCAGCAGGGACTATTGTTAACACAGTGACTGTGCAACGACAACCACTACTGATGGTGACAACAGTAATAATGATTGAGGACCTGCTCTGTGCCAGGTGTTTAGATTTCAGAGCAAATCTACACCACGAACATGCCCATCTTACAGATGAGAAAACTGAGGCCCTGAAAGTCAGAAGACTTGCCAGGCTTACCCAGCCCACAAGTGGTCAGGGAAAGATATTAACCCAAGCCTATGCTTTAACCACTGCTATCTGCCTTTCTCTTATTTTAATAGCAATAGCATGACCCTATCTTTTCCTATAGTCCTCTCACCTCCCCAGCTCAGAGCCCATTAGCCAGAGTTCCTAGCAATGGAGGTCCCTCACTCTTGCTCTCCTCACTCCCTACCTTCCTTCACCCTCCAACACAGTCCTGGGAACATGGCAACTCTGATCTCAGCTGAAGGGGCTGCCACTCTCCCTGAACTTGGACCGGTGAGGGGGGTGGGGGGGAGCAGACGCTCAATGGAGGAGCTGCCTTAAGCTGGCAGTCGGACATCCCCCAAGGGCTCCCAGACTGCGAGAGGGTTCAGGCCGGGCTGAGGGACCCCCCTCCCAAGTGCATGAATCTCGTGCACCAGGCCTCTACTTTAACAAGCTCTGGCCCTAGCCGGTTTGAGCATCAGCCTACGAATTGAAGGGTCCCTGGTTCGATTCCCAGTCAGGGCACATGCCTGGGTTGCAGGCTCAATCCCCCGTAGAAGGTGTGCAGGAGGCAGCTGATCAATGATTCTCTCTCATCATTGATATTTCTATCTCTCTTTCCCTCTCCCTTCCTCTCTGAAATCAATAAAATATGTATTAAAAAATAATAAAATAACAAGCTCTGCTGTGTCAAATGTTGCCTTGGGGCAAGTTGCTTAAGTTCCTTGGGCCTCAGTTTTCCCATCTTTAAAATGGGGATCATATTAGTAACTGCTTCCTAGGCTTGTTAAAACGTATAGTGAGTTTACATGTGTGGTTGTGTGTGTGTGTGTAAGTGGAAGACATGTACCTATTACATGTGAGGTAATATACATAAAATGCTTAATAAACTGCTTGGCCCGTAATAAGGCTTGTTACATGTCGATGCTA